ACCAGCACTCCAGTCTGGGTGACAGAGCGAGACTGTCTCAAAAAGAAAATAATAATAAGTGGTGGCTCGTACCTGAAATCCCATCACTTGAGGAGATAGAGGCAGAAGGATTGCTTGAGTTCAGGAGTTCAAGACCAGCCTGGGCAACATAGAGTAACTCGTTTTTACAAAATTTTTAAAAAATTAGCCAGGCGTGGTGACACATGACTGTAGTCCTAGCTACTTGGGAGGCTGAGGTGGGAGGATCACTTGAGCCCAAGAGATTGAGGCTGCAGTGAGCTATGACTGCAACACTGTACTCCAGCCTGGGTAACAGAGCAAGACCCTATCACCAAAAAAAAAAAAAAAAAAAAAAAAAAAAAGTCACATATTATATGATCCCATTTATATGAATTGTCTAGAATAGGCTAATATATAGAGACAGAAAGTAAATTAGTGGTTGCTTAGGGCTGAGGAGGATAGGGGGCCAGGAGTTAAGGAGTGACAGCTAAAGCATATGAGGTTTCTTCTTGAGAAACTGGTTGTGGTCATGGATGCATAACTCCATGAATGTACTAAAAACCATGTAATAGTTCACTTGATACAGGTGAATTATATGACACAGGAATTATATCTCAATACAATTCTTGCTGCAAAAAGGGGATGGGCAGCGTGGCCTCTTCCTTTTTCTCTCTGAGAGCACTCATTCTGAGGTCTCCTACCAACACCCACAAGAATGAACTTAAAACTGGGTCCTCCAGCCCAGTCATCCTTAGGATGGCAGACACTTGTTGAATGTCCTGAGGTGCTTATTTAAAAAATATATATATATCTGCTGCATGATAATCTCATTTCCCCCTTCTCTTTCTCATTCCTGGAAGACTCCAAACTTTTCCCTTCACCTGCTCTCCTCCCTCACCCCTCCCATCCCCTGGCCCCACTTTCCCCACACCAACTCTCTTCCCTGCCAGCAATTAGGCAAAAGTCCAAGTTGCTGAGTCTTCAAAATCTGTCTCTGATCGAAAGGTAGGTGGAAGTGGGAGACTCTAATGGATCCTGGAAAACTGTCTCAGCATTTCTCATTCCCAAAAGGGCCTTCTCTGGTTCTTAGGGTAAGATGACTATCTTGGTCAAGCATTTCAGAGGGTCCCAGGCACTCATTCCCATTGGGTATGGCACCAGAACTTTCCTGCCTGGTGCAAAGGTGGAGGTGGGGGATGGAGACCTGCCCTCCAGAAACCCATGTTGCCCAGTGCTTTCAACCACTCACATCTCAAACATTGCATAAGCACTATAGACAGCCTCTTCCACCCCATCACAGCATTTTTAATGCTACAAAACACTCTTTTGTTTGTCCTTTTGAAATCCTCTCCACTGTTCTACAGATGAGGAAACCGAGCCTCAGAGAAGTAAAGTGAGGAACCAAGAAATGGAGAGAGACAGATTCTTCATGGCATGATTTGAGCTTCTGGCTCTGTCCATGCCCAAAGCCAAATACCCTTGACTTTCAAATTAAGTGAGCCAATAAGCCATAGCCTCTCTATTTTATCTAATTTATTTAAGACAGGCTTGAGTTTGGTTTCTGTCATTTGCCACTGAAAGACTGCTGACTAATATAGTGACCTAACTAGAGAGTATGCTCCCTGAGAGCAGGAATTGCACTGTATAGACTTAAGATCCTTAGAGACAGGGATGATGTCTTATGCATCTCACTATTACAGGACTAAGCATCAGGATGAATACAGAGCAGGTGAAAAACAAACAAAAGACTAAATGTCTTTTTGTATTTTTCCAATGGCCTCATGCTCTGTACTCAGAAGACCCTAAAGTACTTGATAAAAGTTAACAGGAACAAAATCATATGATACGCACTTTAATTCTTATCTGACACAAACAAAGCCCTTTGATTCTCCACAGTTCCTCTAAGGGTGACTGATTTATCACTTTCTGCATGGAATGATCTTGATGGAAGAGTTGTTCAAGGATCCCCACAGGGCTGAAATTTTGTACTTATTTTATGTTATTTTTCGCAGATATAAACCAAACAAAAAACAGGCTAGTCTCCAACTTCTGGCCTCAAGCAATCTTCCCATCTCAGCCTCCCAAAGTGCTGGGATTATAGGCGTGAGCCACCATGTCTGACCAAAAGATACTTTATTTTATTTATTTATTTATTTTTGAGATGGAGTTTCACTCTTGTTGCTCAGGCTAGAGTGCAATGATGCCATTTCAGCTCACCACAACCTCCACCTCCCAGGTTCAAGAGATTTTTCTGCCTCAGCCTCCCAAGTAGCTAGGATTACAGGCATCCGCCACCATACCTGGCTAATTTTTTTAATTTTTAGTAGAGATGGGGTTTCTCCGTATTGGTCAGGCTGGTCTTAAACTCTCGCCCTCAGGTGATCTGCTTGCCTTAGCCTCCCAAAGTGCTAAGATTACAGGCATGAGCCACTGAGCCCAGCCCCCAAGAGATACTTTAAATCAGCTTACTTACCTGCTCCCCATCCCCTATTGTACAAATGGGAAACTGAGATTTAAACTTAAAGGCTTACTTAACACTACACGATGAGTCACAGATCCAAGTCAGCCAAGAACCCCCATTCCAACACTCGCAGTCCAGTGCTCTGGCCTCTGTCCTGGTGTCACTTTATTAACCAAAGTGAATCAGTCACTCACCCAGAGAACTCAGAAATCTCTGAACAAAATGGAATAAACTGCTCAACTCTGCCAACTGCCCCCTCAGTCCACATGGGTGGGGCAGTAATGCAAGGAAAAGTGTCCTGAGCCAGAAGTCAAGAACCCCCAGTTGTAGAACTAGCTTCCTCACTTATCAGCTGTGTGATTTCAAGTAAGCCCTTCCCGTCTCTATACTCAGTTTCCTCCCTCTGAAACAGGGGGAGGGGAAGGTGAGATTTGAAGGAGCTGATCTCTAAGGTCCCTGAAAATCTATGATTGTATGGGGGTTGTTGGACAACTCATCAAATCTCCAAGATTAAGCCCACACAGGTTACAGAGAATTTGAAAGCCAAGAGGTCAGCAACCCATCTGCAGACTCCAAATTATGGTTGATTAATTGAGGGTTCCAGCTTGTCTTTGTAGGAGAAATAGACTAGAAATATATAAATCACCTCCCTGGGTACCACAGAGAAGTATGGAGCCATATTCCTCACATCCTATAGTTCACCTTTCTCATCCTCTTCAACGATCCTAAAAAATCCACATCTAAATTGAGTTGGGTGAGATGAATTTGAAACAAGTCCATTAGAATGTCCACCTCTACCTTCTTCAAAGTAGTCCTTCTAGGAGTTTGGGCAATTTTTCCAACGAGGCAGTAATTCCCTGCATTTGTAAAAGTCCTCTGTGGAAACAGACCAGCTTCATGACTTTATATTCACACCTTGGCTGTCATTTCAAGTGACAATTATCAATTTGATCACCCATTGTATTCTCTATACTTGACCTGGAGTGACTTCCAGCCATTTCCAAAAGTTACATTCCTCCTTTAAAAGATAGAGGTTTCAGGCCAGGTGCGGTGGCTCATGCTTGTAATCCCAGCACTTTGGGAGGCTGAGGCAGGCAGATCATGAGGTCAGGAGCTTGAGACCAGCCTGGCCAATATAGTTAAACCCCATCTCTACTAAAAATACAAAAATTAGCCAGGTGTGGTGGCGTGCATCTGTAGTCCCAGCTACTCAGGAAGCTGAGGCAGAAGAATCACTTGAACCTGGGAGGCAGAGGTTGTAGTGAACTGAGATTGTGCCACTGCACTCCAGCCTGGGCAAGCAAGACTCCATCTCAAAAAAAAAAAAAGAAAAAGATAGAGGTTTCTTCTCAATGAAAATATTAAAGTGATTACACCCCATGCTCCAAAGCTAATTCTCTGCAATGCTTTGAGCAATGGAATAATCAGCAAGTGATATAACGCCTCCTCCAGGGGGTCTCTTTTGGAATGGCAGACACTTGTTGAATGTCCTGAGGTGCTTATTTAAAAAAAAAAATATCTGCTGCATGACAATCTCATTTCCCCCTTCTCTTTCTCATTCCTGGAAGACTCCAAACTTTTCCCTTCACCTACTCTCCTCCCTCACCCCTCCCATCCCCGGCCCCACTTTCCCCACACCAACTCTCTTCCCTGCCAGCAATTAGGCAAAAGTCCAAGTTGCTGAGTCTTCAAAATCTGTCTCTGATCGAAAGGTAGGTGTGGGAGACTCTAATGGATCCTGGAAAACTGTCTCAGCATTTCTCATTCCCAAAAGGGCCTTCTCTGGTTCTTAGGGTAAGATGACTGTCTTGGTCAAGCATTTCAGAGGGTCCCAAGGACTCATTCCCATTGGGTATGGCACCAGAACTTTCCTGCCTGGTGCAAAGGTGGAGGTGGGGGATGGAGACCTGCCCTCCAGAAACCCATGTTGCCCAGTGCTTTCAACCACTCACATCTCAAACATTGGATAAGCACTATAGACAGCCTCTTCCACCCCATCACAGCATTTTTAACGCTACAAAACACTATTTTGTTTGTCCTTTTGAAATCCTCTCCACTGTTCTACAGATGAGGAAACCGAGCCTCAGAGAAGTAAAGTGAAACACCCAAGTTGATAGTGTCAGCAAGTTAAAAGTCCAAGCCAGAACTCTTGATTCCCCATCTCATGCTTTTTTTTTCAACACAACAGAAATCGATCATACCTACAGCAACCTCTCATTCAGATAAATATTTCCCCCAAGATAGCCAACAGAGACCCTTAGAGACACTAACATGATGCTAACCCATCAATAAATGCAGTCTGCCCATATCCAAGCATACAGACCCACCTACCCAGGCCTAAGGCTCTGTCCCCTGCCCTAAGGTGTCTCTCTCCAGCGCACCCCTTCCCCAGTAGCCACTGAGGGTCCGTCAGCCAAGGAGGTGTGTGTCTTAACACAGAGAAGCAGAATCTATCTGACTCCTTCAGGAAGGGGACCTGGCAGGAAAGAGCCCCGTCCTCGGCGCCTGTTCTGGGGGTTCTGCTCACCCCCTCCCCTACCTGCCAAGAGCTGCATCCAGGCGCAGATCTTGTAGACCGTAGCCGTGTTGCAGAAGAAGAAAAGCGCAAAGCAGGTGATGCAGCCGAGGATCAGCACCATGGAGAGCAGCACGAAGAAGGCGGCCGCCTTGAAGGCGCTGGACGGGATGGTGCTGAAGTCGGTGAAGGAGCCCCGGCAGGTGAGCTCGCGGCCCGCCAGCCCGCTGCCCACGCAGTAGTGGAAGAGGCCGAAGTAGCCAGGCTTGGGAGTGCTCACGCTGTCGCCCACCCAGTAGGGCTGGATGAAGACCACCACGTTGATGATGGCGAAGCAGATGGTGAAGATGGCCCACAGCACGCCGATGGCCCGCGAGTTCCGCATGTAGTGCTCGTGGTAGAGCTTGGAGGCTTCCTGCGAGGGCAGCATGGTGCCCGGGGGCGGGGCCGGCGGCGGCGGCGGCTGGTTGGGGCCGCCGGCCCGGGACGGAGCGCCGGGCTGCCGGGCGGGAGCTGGGGACGCACGCGAGAAGCGGCCCTGAGTCAAGGAACCCGCGAGAGCGGGGCCTGGGGCAGAGCTGGGGGCGTCTGGGAGCAGATATGGGGAGAGAGGAGGGGGTCATGAGAGTGTTGGGGCGGTGTCTAGGGGGCCTGGCAAAGGTATCATATTGGGGGGCCTAGGAAGGGGCCATGAAAAAGTTGGGGGGCTCCTGGGATGGGGATATGAGACCTGAAAGTGAGGGGGAGGTACTTGAAAGTGGTCATGGGGGAGTTGGGGTGGGGATTTGGGAGCTGGTATTAGGGGAGTAGGAGGGGACAGGGGGAGGTAGAATGGAGGCTGGAGACTGGCATTGGAGGATTAGCAGAGGGGCTGAATTTGAGGAGCTCCGAGGGGAATTTGGGGGCTGGTATTAAGGGGTAGGAGGAGGTCTGGTATTGGGTGTCTAGGAAGGGACTACGAGGCGGTGGTGGGCGCTTCTACGATAGGGAAAGAGGGAATTTAAGAGGCTGGGACTGGGTGATTGGGAAGATGATATGGGGGCTGGGACAGGGAACGGGGGCTGGTATGGGGGTCTAAGAGGGCAAAGTGGCAAAATTAGGATACGGCTAGAGGGGAATCGGAGGCTGGGGCTGCTGGACAGGGGGCGAGGTGGGGGGGTGTCCTCAGAAGCCAGGGCTGGAGGTAGGCTGGAGGGAGCCTAGGATTGGCGGGCCAGGATTGGGGAGAGGGGCTTTCCAGGCCAAAGGGACGAAAGACCGGGGCTGGTGGGCAGCGGGGCCCGCGAGGGGCGGGCGGTGTGCAGGGGCTGTCCCCGGGGGGCTGGGGAGCGGCCGGGCCCAAGTAGGGCCGGGGTTGGGGGGGGGCGGCTGCCCCGCGCCCAGGCCGGACGCGCGCAAGGCTGCGGCCGGGGAGAGAGGGTGCCGGGAGACCAACCTGGGCACGGTCGGGGGCAGCGGATCCGGGACTGGCACGGCCTAGGCGCCGCGGCTCGGCGCTCCCAGCAGCGGCTGCCTCGGCCCAGGCGGCGGCCTCTGCGCGGCCTCCATCTTGCTCGGGTTCTCCCCGGGGCGCGCTCCCGCGCCAAGGCGCGCGCTCTCGTGCACCAGCGCGGCCCGGCGGAGGCGCGCGCCCGCGCGGGCTTGCGGGACGGAGCGGGGCGGAACCGGGGAAGGGTGCTCCTGGTTCTGGCATTTGGGGGAAAGGGTGGCCACGATCCGCGGGGGTCCCCCAGCCGGGGCAGCAAGCACCCCTCCACAGTAGGGTCCCCTGATGTGGGGGAGTCCCTTCTTCCATCCTGAGCTGAGGTGCTGTGAGGCCCCACAAAGCCCAAGGGGGTGGGGGAGGGGCTGGAGGGGGTATTATTTGATAGGATTTGAACTGGATCTCTCTCTCCCAGTTACCTCCCCTACAACCTAGCATAGTGCCTGAAGTTACACTATTACACTTTCAGTCCTTTGGGTCTTGGAGGCGTTGAAGGTTCCCAGAGTATCCTAGGAAACTGCTAACACCCCTGGGAGAGGGAACCCCCTAAACTGCTAGCAGCCCACGCCTGCGATGGGGATTCGTTGGCCACCACGGCAAGGAGCGAAGCCTGGGGAACGGGACCCAGAGTGAGTACTAGGGGACAGGAGAGAAAGGGGCTGGGACATTTTGGGCTTTCCTCCCTACACCCTCCCCTGCCCCCAGCCCAGCGCCTGACATGAAGTAGGCACACCATAAAGATGTGTTAAAGAACAAAGCATCAAAGGACAGGCACAGGGTTAGGCCACAGAACACCCTGGGGGCACTCCAACGGAGACAGCATGGGTCATTTCTTTCCCAGCTGGAAAATAGCCTTTGGCTTAGGACCTGTCAAGATGATGTGGGTTGGAACCCAGACAAACTGAGACTAACACTATCTCTGTGACCTTGCACTACCACTCTCTCTAAACCTGTTTCCTCATCTGTAAAGTGGACGGATATGTAAATAGGGTGAGGCGGCAAAAAGTAAGCCATGTTAGCAGGTCTCAAACTCTGGACCCCATACACAGGTCAATCTCAAAACATCTATCTGGATCTGGGAACAGTGTCTCGTGTCTGTCATCCAAGCTACTAGGAAGGGTAAGGTGGGGGAACTGCTTGAGGCCAGAAGTTCAAGGCTGCTATGGGCTATGATCATGCCACTGCACTCTAGCTTGGGCTACAGAGACAGACCTCGTCTCTAAAAGAAATAATAAAATACAACAAGAAATGAATTTCTATCTGCAAAAAATTAATCATGTAAGATTGCCAGTTGTCTTTTCTCCAGTGGGGAAGTAGGACTGCTCTTTTTGTTTTGAGATTATATATTTCCTACTTTCTTTTTCTTTTTTTTTTTTTGAGACGGAGTTTTGCTCTTGTTACCCAGGCTGGAGTGCAATGGCGCCATCTCAGCTCACTGCAACCTCCGCCTCCTGGATTCAGTCAATTCTCCTGCCTCAGCCTCCTGAGTAGCTGGGATTACAGGCACGCGCCACCACGCCCAGCTAATTTTTTTGTATTTTTAGTAGAGACGGGGTTTCACCATGTTGACCAGGATGGTCTCGATCTCTTGACCTCGTGATCCACCCGCCTCGGCCTCCCAAAGTGCTAGGATTACAGGCTTGAGCCACCGCACCCGGCTTTCCTACTTTCTTAGTGCAAAAAAATCCACCTATTTTAAGAAATAGTGGTGATAGTTAATGGGAGGTTCTTAAAATGTCTTTATTTGGCAAAATAAAAATAGGTAGCCTATTTCAATCCCACAATTGAAGTTATGAATCCATAAAATCCCACAATTTGAAGACCTTGGAACCATGCGAATTAGTCTCATTCAGCGCCCAAACATGAGATGCTCAATAAATTTTGGTTGCCCCTTCCACTTGGTTTCTTGAAAGGCAACCTGGCTGTTTCCTGAGAACCCTGTGATCCTGGAATCATGAGCTGAAGGGTCTGTGGAGAGTGTTTCATTCTATATGTTCTCTCACTTTACAGATGGGGAACAGAGGTCAAAGAAGTGGGTTGACTTATCCAGAGAGGTAGATAGATCCTGCTGTCAGGCCTCTAAGTCCAAACCTGGCCATTATAGCCTTGGTGACCTGCATGTACACCTCCTAATGGTCTCCAGGAGCCAGAAAGTCTGAAGTAACCAGATGGCCACAAAGTGAAGTGAAATGACCAGTTCCTGACTCAACTGATTGCTCACCCCCTGCGACATTCAACCATTGTTCCTGCTCAACTGTGCAAAATTTTCTCCCTAGACATTACGTTTCTCAAGTCCCCCACTGCTGTAACTTAACCCTTCCCACTGCTTGCAACCAATAACCCCTACCCTTACGACCAGGCCTGTTTGTAATAGATAACCCTCTGCCCTTGTGACCATGCATCCTGTGATGCCCTTCCCCTCCCTAAAATAGACAACCACCTTTAACTGATCATTTTGCCCCAACCTATAAACCAGTTCCTATTCCTACACCCCTCGCCTAACTCCTTTCTTGGACTTGGCCTGCTTGCACCTAAGCGCTAAATAAAACGGCCTCATTGCCCACATGAAGCCTGCTTGGTGGTCTCTTTACACAAACAATGTGCCTAACACCTGCCAGTCAGACTGATCAACCTGATTCATTAATTTATTTAATCATCCAATAAATGTGTGAGTTCCCTGTGATGTGCCAGGCACAGTTACCAGACTAAGCACTGGGGAGAAGGTGGTCAGTGAAACAGACATAGTCCCTGTCCGTGAGCTCTCATGGAGCTCACAGTTTCACAGAAGACGGAAGGTGATGGGGGCAAGAAGCAGGGAGGTGTCCGTCGTTAAAGAGCATCTCAGAGTCCCCTCTGGGCTGCTCTTGGTTTGGGTCCTGTCTTGAGTATACCATTTATTACTCTTTACTCCTTACTCTGATTGAATTATTGCCTTATTGTCTAGCCTGCTGAGTCAAGCTAAGCAGTCCTGGGGAAAAAAATCATAAAAATCCACTTACTACTTTTCCTCAAGGCAAGAAGTGAGAGTTCTTGCTAAGATGGACCCCCAGTTCCTCTGTGGCTGCTCTGCAGAGCAAAGACACCCTGTAGAGGTCTGCCCACCACCCACTCATTTCTGACAACAGTGCTTTTTCTTTGAAGAACCTTCTTTCTCCACACTTAATCCCTTAGTGGGTCTCTCTCTTTTTCTCTCTCTCTCTGTCACACACACACACATGCACACACACACAACGTATACACACCATACTCCACTCCAGAGGGGGCAAATGACCAGGCCTGGACAATGAGAAAACTTCATTATCCTGGACACAGTGACTGGTTCATGAGTTCTTTGACCATAACCCAGGTCAAAGAGTTGAGAATAATATCCAGCTTATGAGTTGCAGTTTACAGAAAAGAGGTATTCGTTTTCTGTTGAATGTGTTGAGCTGAGGGAATTGTGAGCTGAAGCTAGTGGAGACAGCTTCAGCAGAGAACTTGTCTAAAAATAAGGTCTACATAAAGGAAAGCTATGAAATGGAGAAGGAAGCCAGGCATGGTGGCTCATACCTATAATCCCAGCATTTTGGGAAGCCAAGGCAGGTGGATCACTTGAGGTCAGGAGTATAAGACCAGCCTGGCCAACATGGCAAAACCCTGTCTCTACTAAAAATACAAAAATTAGCCAGGCGTGGTGGCAGATGCCTGTAATTCCAGCTACTTGGGAGGCTGAAGGAGAATCCCTTCAACCCGGGAGGCAGAGGTTGCAGTGAGCCGACATCCTGCTACTGTACTCCACCCTGGGCAATGGAACGTGACTCCTCTCAAAAAAAAAAGAAGAAGAAGAAGAAGAAAGAGATGAAGAAAGAGCATTCAGGTGACATAGTCTGAGCACTTGGATCCATCTGTGCCTGAAAATCTACTTCCAAATTGTTTTTTTAAGATTATCCAAGAGGCCAGGCGCGATGGCTCAAGCCTGTAATCCCAGCACTTTGGGAGGCCGAGGTGGGTGGATCACGAGGTCAAGAGATCGAGACCATCCTGGTCAACATGGTGAAACCCCGTCTCTACTAAAAATACAAAAAAATTAGCTGGACATAGTGGCGCGTGCCTGTAATCCCAGCTACTCAGGAGGCTGAGGCAGGAGAATTGCCTGAACCCAGGAGGCAGAGGTTGCGGTGAGCCGAGATCGCGCCATTGCACTCCAGCCTGGGTAACAAGAGCGAAACTCCGTCTCAAAAAAAAAAAAAAGATTATCCAAGAAACCAATTTTTGCTTAAGCCAATTTGAGTTAGTTTTTAATAACTTCCAATCAAAATAATTAACCTCAACAATTTACCTGCATTCCTCTGAAAAAGGTAGGAGCATTATTTATCCAATATACCACTTTTATAGAAAAGTACCTGGGCCAGGCAGGTGGCTCATGCCTGTAATCCCAACACTTTGGGAGGCCAAGGTGGGTGAATCACTTGAGGTCAGGAGTTGGAGATCAACCTGGCCAAAATGGTGAAACCCCGTCTCTACTAACAATATAAAAGTCAGCTGGGTGTGGTGGCGTGCACCTGTAATCCCAGCTACTCAGGAGGCTGAGGGAAGAGGTTGCCTGAACCCAGGGGGCAGAGGTTGCAGTGAGTTGAGATTGCACCATTGCACTCCAGCCTGGGCAACAACAGTGAAACTCTGTGAAAGAACGAAAGAGAAAGAGAGAAAGAGAGGAAGGAAGGAAGGGAGGGAGGGAGGGAGGGAGGGAGGGAGGGACGGAGGCAGGAAGGGAGGGAGGGAGGAAGAGAGGAAGAAAAGTGCCTGGATGAGTGAGCTACTCCTGATAGATTGAAAGTAAAAGACCAGAATTTGAAGCCTATCTCTGCCATGTTAACTATGTAACCAGGATGACGGTGCTACTCCTCAGAGCATTGTTTTCTTCATTTGTCAAGTGGAGAAGAACGTACTTCGTTCCCACAGATGTTGTGAAGATTAAAAGAGATAATGGATAGGAAAAGAGCTTTGTAAACTGAAAGAGGCTATAAATGCAAGTGATTATCATTAAAGTTTAATAATAAGTGACTTGTCCAAAGAGTAGAAATAGCAGTAGTATTGGAAATGTACTTTCTGA